TTGATTACTTTTTAAATGATCTCAACTTACATTATTTGATTACAAAATTAATGCTAAACAAACTGAATATTCTGCAGGGGATATACAGTTATCTGTTTTATAAAACTTAATAGAGAAACTTATGTCATAAGATTTAATATAAAGATCATAATGGCTACAACATAAATCAGTATCAATATATGACCCAATATACTATTCTGAAATCCATTACTGTATATTGTTATGATATTATTATATACAACAGGATTTTAACCTTTTTTAGACTTTTATGGAACTCATTTTCCTTAAATAATACATAAAATGTACTCTTGCATTATGTGTTCAATAAATATGGATATGAATGACCTACTATGAACAAAATACAAAAAAATCCAGTAATGCATATTATTTTTCTCAGTCATAAATGCATCCCAGATTCTGGAGGTAAAAATTCTGTGAACAAAACCACTGCATCTATAAAGTGTTGCACTTTGCAAATGCTATATGCAGATCAAAACACGGTTTCCTAAAAACACTAAGCCCCTTCATAGTAAATATATATGACACTATACATACATCAATTTGTGTATATGTGTGCATCTGAGTACCTCACACATATATTTACAGATTGCATGTACATATAATATCATTTTTCTTGCAGTATGAACTACTGTATTTTCAATTCCAGAAATACTAACCTATATCATTTACACACAATTACAGAAAAGATTCATCTTCAATTGCTAAATATAAATTTCATGTTAACAATTTTCCTAAAATCTCAACATTCAATATGTATTATCTGTACAGAAGTAACAGCCTGCTAATTTTCCCATAAAGTCAAATTGTCCTAATTTCGGTCTGCAAAATACTTGCTTTCTAAATGAGATATGTTTATGGACTATATATCTTAAGCCAAAATAGACGGTCAATGTTTCATTCTCACATCTAAAAAAAGAGATATAAAAAAATAATGAATAAAAGTCACTAATCATTAAAAAATGAATAAATTCAACCTACAAAAGGATCCTGTTTTGGCTCTCTTCCATAAACTCAAACACACACATGACAGAAGGAGACAAGGAGTCCCTTGTTTTACAAATAGTGCAAATACACAGTTCAAATAAACAGACAGGCTCTTGCATAGGAAAGTTTCTCTTTGACAATACAAGTTTCAAACTTAAGACACTCAGGAACAGAATACACAAATCTAAAATCCAGAATCACTTAAAAAACACAATGCAAATCAGGATGCACAAAGGAAGATCTGAATAGTAATGGAACCATTATTAAGAACAAAATAGATTTCTTTCCCTGATGTTTCCTTCAAGGAAGGGAAACTTTTTTCTTAGATCAGAAACTCAATGAAACACTGTGAAATTTGAAATAATCACATCAGTACTAAAACAGAAAAAATACAAAAGCAACAATTATCAAAAATTATTTAAAGATTAGGAACTTGGGCAATTTACTGGAATATGTACCTATACTACTGTCACTAGAAAGGAGTGCAATAAATTGAACACTTCTAAATCCAGTCTTAAATAAATCTGATAACGAAATTCAGAATTTTCTATTTCATTACAATAATGCTTATACAATCATACATATTTCAGCACCTCTAATGAATTGTATCATACATACAGTATTTTCTAACATGCATGAATAATTACTTACTTACATACATACATACATACATACATACATACATACATACATATACATACATAAATATACATACATATATATACATACATATTCATATACATACATACATATACATCCATACATAGATACATACATACATATACATACATACATTTACATACATACATATACATACATACATATACACATACACAGATACATACATACATACAAACACACACAAACATGTGTGTGCGTGTCTGCACGAGTGTGTGTGTGTGCACATGTGTGTGCTCGTGTGTGTGTGTGCGTGTGCACATGTGTGTGCTCGTGTGTGTGTGTGCGTGCACATGTGTGTGAGTGCACATGTGCGTGTGTGTGTGCACATGTGTGTGAGTGCACATGTGCGTGTGTGTGTGTGTGTGTGTACACCTGTGTGTGCTCATGTGTGCGTGTGTGTGTATATGCACATGTGTGTGCACATGTGTGCATGTATTTATATGTGAATGTGTATATCTACAGTATGTGTATGTATGTATGTATGTGTATGTATGTATATGTATAAGTATGTGTATGTGTATGTGTATGTGTATATGCATATGCATATGCATATACATATGTATACATGTATGTGTATGTGTATATGTACACATGTATACATGTGTATATTTGTACATATGTGTATATGTATATGTATGTGTATGTGTATGTGTATATCTATCTATATCTATCTATCTATCTATCTATCTATCTATATCTATCTATCTATCTATCTATCTATCTATCTATCTATCTATCTATCTATCTATCTATCTATCTATCTATCTATCTATCTATCTATCTATCTATCTATCTATCTATCTATCTATCTATC